AAGAAAGAAAGAAAGAAAGAAAGAAAGAAAGAAAGAAAGAAAGAAAGAACTAAATAAGTGTTCATCTGATCATTGGGAATGCCTTTTCCAAAGAGAGCAGAACAGAAAACATTGTAAAACATTTTCATTAAACATAAATTTTACTTTCAAACTTGTTCTGATATGCATCTTATATAGGTTCAAATGCTTCATGGGCTCCTGTCAATCCATGCCAATGACCAAGAGAATACAACTGGAACTAAGGCAGCTTGATAGTCAAATCATGGAAGCATTATTCTGAATCACAATTGTGCAATTAGAAAAATAACAGGAAATAATATATACTAGGAAACATAATAGGAAAAATAGTAAACATTTATCGTGACAATTAAAACAAATACCTAATGACAAGCATAAATATTGAGGCTGCTACAGAGTAGAACACTGCACAATTTTTTTCATCTATACATTCCGTAATTAGGAAACATGATTTTTATAATTACACGAATCTTACTTGGGTAACAAATTGTCTTCAGAATTCTTGTATTCTATTTAAGAGAAAGAAATTATTTCAAAATGAAAAATTGAAAAATCTAAAATATTAAAAGTAATGACTCTGAAGGTTTATTAGGAAACATTCCTTTCAGACCATGTATTAAGAATAGAGTATGGTGGGCACTGATTATTTTGCTAATTGAATAATAAATGTACTAGAAAAACCTTCTCCTTGTTTCCTATTTACTACACCTGAAGAAAAAGACTAAAATTTACAAAAATTTGACACATAAAACTAAAATGCTATGTACAATGATACAAATGGTAACTTAATACTAGGAGACTGACTTAAAAAGCTCTTATGAGCTGAGACTGTCAAACAGCAGGAGAGATGTACAGTCTGATATTAGTAACAATGTTAAGTGAGTTTGTTTTGTTATCACATGAAGAATTGCATCAAATATTCATTATAAATTTTAGTTTAGGATAAATATTCTCTTAAGAAAGCTTAATTTATTAACACTGCATTTTACAACATGGCAAATCACAGAGCTAGACCAGGACCAAGTGGCTTTGCAAAGACTTTCAAGCTGCAAATTAAGCTCAGTACAAGCCATCATCTTCCACAAAACAATGCTAAAAATTCAGTGGAGGCTTCTTCCTTGTTCTTATATCTGGTGCAAATGAAACTCAAGAGTCATCTGATACAGTTCCTGCAACAGAAAGAACCACTGCCTGATTGGACCCTTAAGGATTTACCAGCCCTGAGCTGTATCAAATACAGAGAAGTTTAATCTTAAATGAACAAAAAAGGAGCAGGAAACTTCTAGAAAGTCTTTTAGATATGTGTTTTTAAACTGAGCAGCCTCCTCAGCTTGTTAGACATGACAACCGAACTAAAGAAAACAGGTTAAGCAGTGATAATAGCACACAGTGTAATTTCTTCTAACCTTTTGCATTAAGTGGAAATAGCAATTTTCTAGTGCATTTGCCATCATATACTATGCTGATGATCGAAAACAAAAGGGGGGAAGGAGCTTCACGGATAATGGCGGTAGTAGACAATGGCTTTAAAAACATGATTTTCAGGATTCAGACTCTATTTCCAGACTGATTTCAGTAAAGAAAGCTACTGACTATGTCCTGCATGCCTCTTACTTCAACAACTGAGAAACCCAGGCAGCTTACATCAGGATTATAAAGCTACCTCAGCTACACAGTAAGGTAGAGGCCAGTATGGGATAACTGCCTCGTGACTCAGCATAGACAAAAAGAAAAAAAAGAAAAAAAGGGACAACGTTTAATGAGCAATAACTAAAAGTCACAAATATAGAATGTGAGTGCTATTTCCTAAGTTAAAATATTTAAAATATGTGAAGCAGTTTCAACTGTATATGCTTAGAAAACAAGTAATTAAAGTGTTGGCTTACATGGGGTACATGCTGAATTTAATACTTACTTATCATTATCATTAGCCTTACCTAGACTGTCATCTTTATTTTTTCTGCGTAACTTTTCATCATAGTTCATGAGAATCTCTCGACTACTGCCATGTGCAAAAAAAACCAAAAAAAAAAAAACATAAAATTACTATTTTTAAATTGATATGGAAAATATGTTACTATGTTAAGATTTACAGAGTGTTGCAAGCAATGTCAAAGGTTATCATAGTATTCAAATAAAACAGAATGTGTTAGTTCCTTTCATGGTCTCGTATTAAGACATTACAGCTGTCCACATTATATCTACAATCAAGAGCAAAAAGAAATGAATGCTAATGCATGCTCCTCACTTACTCTGCCCTTATACCGTTCAGGACTCCTGCCGAGGAAACGGTAATTCTCAAAGCAGGTCGGATCTTCCCACATCTATTTTTAATTAATTAATTAATTAAAATTCATCCACTTTCTATCACTGCTGTAGCCCCCTCCCTTGTCTCCTCCTAATCCCACCGACCCTTCCCCTTTTTCCCTATGCCCCTTCCCTAGTCCACTGATAGGGTAGGACCTCTTCCCATTCTACCTGACTCAAAGCTGGCTGCAGTCATCTTCCTCTGTGGCCTTGCAAGGCTTCGCGCCCCCCCCCCCCATAGAGAGGTGATCAAAGAGCCAGCCACTGAGTTCATGTCAGAGACGCCTTTGAACCCCTAACTAGGGAACACACTTGGAGACTGAGCAGCCTATGGGCTTCATCTGAGCAGGGGGTCAAGGTCCTCTCCATGCTTGGTCCTAGGTTGGAGTGTCTGTCTCTGCAGGACCCCCTAGACTCAGGTATTTTGACTCGGTGTTTCTCCTTGTAGACTTCCTGTCCCCTCCAGGTTTTTCTGTCTCCCTGTTCTTCCATAAGGTTTCCTGCATTCTGCCCCAAAGTTTGGCTATGAATTTCAGTGTCTTGTTCCATACCCTGATGGGTAGTCTTTCAGAAGCCCCCTGTGGAAAGCTTCTGTCCTGTTGCTTGTGTTCTCCTACTTCCTATGTCTATCCTATTTGTCCTTCTGTGTTACAGCCTCTCCCTGTTGTTTAACTTCTTTAGAGTTATAGATTTTAGTCTGTTTATCCTATATATTATATTATATTATATTATATTATATTATATTATATTATATTATATTATATTGTATTGTATTGTATTGTATTGTATTGTATTGTATTGTATTGTATTATATTATATTATATTATATTATATTATATTATATTATATTATATTATATTATATTATATTATATTATATTATATTATATTACATTACATTACATTACATTACAATATTATATTATATTATATTATATTATATTATATTATATTATATTATATTATATTATATTATATTATATTATATTATATATTATAGATATTATAATATCTACTTCCAAGCGAGTATATACCATACGTGTCTTTCTGCTTCTGGGTTACCTCACTTCAGGTTGATCTTTTCTAGTTCCCACCATTTGCCTGCAAATTTCATGATTTCTTTGGTTTTAATTGCTGAGTAGTATTCAAGTAATCCAAATAAAAAAGGGGTACAGAGCTAAATAGAGAAATCTCAACAAAGGAATATCTAATGGCACAGAAACACTTAAGGAAATGCTCAATGTCTTTAGTCATCTGAGAAATGCCAATCTAAATATCCCTAAGATTACATGTCACACCCATCAGAATGGCTAGGATCAAAAACTCAAGTGACAATACATGCTGGAGAGGTTGTAGAGAAAGGGGAGCCCTCTGCCATTGCTATTGGGAATGTAAACTTGTACAACCACTTTGGAAATCAATCTGGCACTTTCTCAGAAAATTAGGAAGAGTGCTACCTCAAGATCCAGGTACTTCTCCTGGGCATATATCTGAAAGATGCTAAACCATACTACAAGGACATTTGCCCAACTATGTTCATTGCAGTGTTATTCATATTATCCAGAATCTGGAAACAACCTAGATGTTCTTCAACTGAAGAATGGATACAGAAACTGTGGTACATTTCCCACATTTGTTAATGATCAAGACAGTTCTCTACTGACCACTCTACAGGTCAAGCTAATCTACAGGGTCACTCACTAAGACTTCCTCTCTAAGGGATGCTAAACTGTGTCATTTGGTAATTAAAATTAACCATCACTAGCCCTAGTTTTCATTGTTCGCTGCTATAATTTTATGGATTGTAATTTACAAAAATGAGCTATTTAACAGCTTGAAAATAAAAGGTTTTTATCATATTGTTTCTTTCCATTAAATAGATTGTGCACTATACCACACTCTCAATCATCAAAGGATAAAAAACAAAATGTTCTAAAAAAATTACTTCTGCTACTTCTAGTCCTCCTCCACCTAATCAAACATCAAACCTTCAGATCCTTGTTAGAATGACTGAATGTCCTGTTTATCTCCAGGTGCTTTGGAAGAGAAACTCCCGTTTTACACATGGATTCCAATGGCATGTGATGTGAAGGAGTTCTCTAACATACAGTCCAACGCTGACAACTAGCCAGAGAAAAATGAGACTTTGTCTCCTAGTGCGTAGGAAAGAAGGCTGCACAAAAGTGCAAAGTGTTCTGGTGGTAGAGTTTTAGCAGTAATGAATAAAGACTCATGATACTCCCTGCAACATGAGTTGAATATTCATTTCAGATTTCAATGATCCCAAGTCATATTTTCTACCAGAACAAATGAACAATTTTTTTCAAAGTTAATGAACTATGAATACCTATGGTTCCACCAATATGAGGCCCCATGTAAGGCTCTAAAATTGCTAGCAATGAGTGTGGCACAAGCTAAAAAGCCCAGCAGCAAAAAGAAAACACTATTACTTTGGAGCTAATAGCTCAGTTAAAAATATTATAACTTTTTAATGTAAGTGTGAATTACCATAAAGCATAAGAGATCTGATTCAACAAAGGCAATATGTCTATCAAGGATTCAGGAGAAGTGCTATTACCAGCACTGAAGCAACAGAATCAGTAGAAAATAGAGGGACTAGAATCTCTTCTTGATCTATGTTTTGAAAGAGAGAGCTCTTCCTAGGACTTGAGGAACCCAGAAACCATTATCTTCTTCAAGATTCAAAGAATAATAGATAGAAGAAAGCCCTCCAGAAAAAGAGACACTGTTTTCTGCTAAACTGTACCTGAAAATTGAAACATCTGATTAGAATATTAAATGTCTGGCTATATATACTTAATATAATAAATATATTATATACATGTATGATTTATACTTGGATGAAATGGAAAAAGTTAGGATCCATAACGTTAAAGGTCTGGAAAGTCCCACACAGAGATATAGCTCAGTCAGTGACAGATTTGCCTGCATAGGAAGTATTTCATTCCATCTTTAGCATTCCAGAAACAAGTCACAAGATTAAACAAACAAACAAACAAACACAAAAAACCCTTCCCTCATTTCTACTTCTAATGTGATATATTTTGTATATTGGATGGTCACTGTTATTCCAATATGGTGTGAGGGAAGATGAAGACTCTGTGATTCATTTAGGCTACAAAGTAGTGTTTAATAACATTCTAATGCAAAGACTTACCCTTTACTTGTCCCTTCAATAGCATACCGTAATGCAGTCCATCCAAATACATCTTTAAAGAAAAAGTCAACACCTTCATCCAGAAGCAGACTCACCATGTCTTTTGAATCCCACCTTACAGCATACAACAGTGTGTTTCTGAAATAACGCAGGAATTTTAGCTTCATTATTAGGTACTTTAACTAAAACTGTTAATACTTAGGTATATTTTGCAAATTTAATGTCTTGTTTGTCTGTTTGGAATTGACCTGTATATCAGACATAAATATTTTGGGAAACAAGGTCATACATACATACATATGTACATACATACATATATATGTATATATTTATCCAAAGACAAAGGAGAAAATGGATGGAAAGTCCCCAGTACTGTTGTACCCATTTTTTTAATTTTTATTTTTTATATTAATTACAGTTTATTTACTTTGTATTCCAGCTGTAGCTCCCCTCCCTTATTCCCGCCCAATCCCTCCCTTCCTCATCTCCAATGTTCCTCTCCAAGTTCACTAATAGAAGAGATCCTTCTCCTCTTCCATCTGACCCTAGTTTATCAGGTCTCATCAGGACTAGCTTCATTGTCCTCCTCTGTGGCCTGGCAAGGCTGCTCCCCCCTCAGGTATAGGTGATCAAAGAGCCAGCCACTGAGTTCATGTCAGAGACAACCCCTGCTCCCATTACTAGGAAACCCACTTGGATACTGAGCTGCCACAGGCTACATCTGTGCAAGAGTTCTAGGTTATCTCCATGCATGGTCCTTGGTTGGAGTATCAGTCTCAGAAAAGACTCGTGGGCCCATATTTTTTGGTTCTGTTGCTCTCCTTGTGTATCCATTCTTAATAGAATTCTTAGATTCATCACCTTTGCTAGAATATAAGCATGCCAAAGTCACTCTTACTACGTAGGTAAAGACTTAAATGGAAATGTCTCCATTTTCTCTAGTTTAGTGTAACATTATAATTATTAATCAGATAACCATCAGAACATTGGAAGCTATTTTCATTATTTAAATGATAATACAATTGTAAAGTATTCTGCTAATAATAATATTATCACTTCACTTAGTAGTGATGATAACATGTGTTTGCACAGCCCTAAATGTCACATAAATGATTTCACAAGAGCCTTTGAGGATATTATGTTCCTTTTTATATTTGGTGATACAACACTTCAGATCACACACTAGAAACTAAGTATATGGCATTTTAACCAAGTTATGTGTGAATCTGCACCAACTCACTTATGACTTAGCTTCATTAACATGTGTACAGGTAAAGCTAATTTGCTTTCCTTTCCCAAAACTAAGTAAATATAAAAATATCAATACCAATTGGAACTAACAAAGAGGTTATATACATAGCCTGGGGTTGTGCAGCATCCTGCAATAACAATTCTTAGCCACCAAAGCAAAAAATGACCTCCTTATTCTTTAAACAAGAGGAAGTGAAAGGTAGGAGTCACTCAATAGACTGTGATTGTCAACTCTTTTTTATGATTAATGTGACATTTTATCAGACTACTGTATAAGAAAAAGGAGAAATATCACAATGCTATTTAGTCTTGTTATGAACAAAAGTTCAAACTTCTTAAAAAAATTAGTAAAGCCTTATCATTATAGGTCTAGTATCCACTTATAAGTGAGTATATACTATGTGTTTCTTTCTGCTTCTGGGATACCTCACTCAGGATGATCTTTTCTAGATCCCACCATTTGCCTGCAAATTTCATGATTTCCTTGTTTTTGATTGCTGAGTAGTATTCCATTGTGTAAATATACCACAATTTCTGTATCCATTCCTCTGTTGAGGGACATCTGGGTTGTTTCCAGGTTCTGGCTATTACTAATAAAGCTGCTACAAACGTGGTTGAACAAATGTCCCTATGGGAGGAACACCCTAGCTAAGCCACAGAGGAGGACATTGCAGACACTCCTGATGAGACCTGATAGACTAGGTAGGATCAGAAGGAAGGAAAGGAAGACCTCCCCTGTCAGTGAACTTGGGGAGGGGCATGGGTCCAGAAGGAGGAGGGAGTGTCTGATTGGGAGGGAAGGAGGGCGGGAGCTACAGAAGGGATACAAAGTGAATAAACTGTAATTAATAAAAATAAAAACACAAAATACCAAAACATAAATAAAAATTTAATAAAACAATTTCTAAAATAAAAACAAATAGTAAAACTTCAATGAAAACCTATTAATCTACTATAAGACTGGTTGGCCAACCAAACAAAATATAAAATAAGAAACATCATTTAATATAAGGGAGTACGAAACTTATTACAAACGACTTGTATAATGTTGCTCACTTCAACATTGTTTTTCTCTTTCTATTTTTTCCATATTCTTTTCAGTCCCTTTCTCTTTAAAGTTTTTCCATTTACTTTGCATCCTTATCACAGCTTTCCCTCCTCTTCACCCAGCTCACCCACCTCCCCCACTTCTCTCCTTCTCCTTTGAAAAGAGGAGGCTTCCCATGGATCTTAACCAACCCTGGCACATCAAATTGCAGTAAGTCTAGGTACATCTTATTGTACTGAGGCTAGACAATGCAGTCCGTTTAGGTGAAAGGGATGTGAAGGTAGGCGACAACATTTCGTTTCTTACCTAACTGATGAGACTGATGACTAGTAATATCTGATCACTGAATACTTCTAAATTAGTCTTCTTCCTATCAGTTTAGTATTTCTTGATTGCATGATTATCATTATTTCAATTTGCCACTCATTTTTTAAAAATCAAATGATAGTACCTTTTCATCTCATCAAATACGTGTATATTTGCTCCTTTCCTTACTAAAAACTTTGCCATCTCTATTTTATTCTCCTTGAGAGCCAATAAAAGTGGTGTAAAGCCATCCTGCAAAACAAAACAAAAAAAATGCAATTCAAAATCATTACAGTCTTGAACTGAATTGAGTCTTAAAATCATCCCCAGGAATACTAACCCTATCTAGACTGAATATGTAGCCTTTTCCCTCTCAGTCCACTCCATGTTCCTTCTCTTTGAAATTCCCCTTTTCTACTTACCTGTGACAGTGAACCCTTTACCTACAGAGCTATCTTGTGGGACTAAGAATTGATTTTTTTAAGAGCAATTTGATAAGCAGTTTTCAGCATGATAACTTGAGGCTTAACAATGAGCTCAGTTCACAGAGAAAAGCAATCATATCCATGGACCATAAGAGTCCACTGCTCCTGTGTTTTTATCTTTCCAATAAGTGTTTTCTGCAGTTGGCTTGTATGAGCCAATATTTACATGTGAAATCATCTCTCTAATAAGCTTTACAAAAATGATAATTACGGCAAAGGAAATACAGATCTTAACATTGACCCAGAAATTTTCAAACACTTGTTAGTTTGCACTTCATTTGCATTCTGTTTTTCCATAACAGAATTCCATTAATGAAATGAATCATTAGTTTCATAGGAGTGCTAAGGCAAAATTATTCAATTGATTTTCAACAGCGTCCTTAACTTTCTTTTTGTTCTTCAGTGTTTATAAATGTTAAGACATGATGCCTGGGTTTTATGCACTTAGGAAGTCACACTGAAAGCACCTAACAGCTTCAACTGTTGAGATTTGTGATTTGCTACTCTTTTGATGTGGAAAAAAAAATCCCTTGCAATTATCAGTTACACTAACTGTTGACCTGAATATTAATAATACATAAAAATTTTTTATTTTCATTTTTTATTATTATTGTCATTTATTACATTTCATTCAACTTGTATCCCGGCTTAAAGGTCCAACATCTAATGATTATTTTCAAGATTTTTTAAAAGTAGTAAATGATTGTTGTTTCGAAGCAAAGAGGACTGTTCTATAAACCAATAATTACCATTATTAGTCCATTTTCTTTCCAAAAAATAGCACTTTTTAATGTTTGAAAAGAAAATTCTTTACCCTTTTCCTAAAGAGGAATGTTGGGCTAGGATTATTGGAATCAAACTCTGGCTCTTTTGAGTTCCTTAGGACTTTGAGATCCAGAATCCACACAGTCAGTGTTTATGTAGGAACTGTTCCCTAATTTCAAGAATATAATTTTGTAAATACCCTTGTCCATGACTAATTACATTTACAGAGTCAAACTCTGCTTGTAATACAGATGTCTAAAATTCTCCTGGGCTCACTGGGACACACAATTCTAGAATTAGGAAGCTGCCTTTCACTTCAGTCTCATTTCTAGTCCACATGGGTAATTACCTTCACCATTTGTTCATATCGCTGAAAAGAGAAAACTCAGTCACTGACCACTTCTTAGTTTCCTTAGATGGGAACAGACAGGGAACAAAACAGCTAGGATCACATTTCATTTCAATATGCAAAAATGCAAATTCCATCTCCCTGCTCTCCCTAATCTAGGCTTTAAGAGCAGAGGTTGGGTTTTGACCTAAGTGGGAGTTATTTGTTCAACAAAAAGAAAAAATATGATAGTAAATTCTGCTTGTAAAAGAATGATGACTCCCCAAACAGAAAGCACAGCAGAATACACATAAACTCATCTTAACACAATTCTATTTCTTTTGATTTTTGTATTATGGATATTTGTTGTTAAACTCATCTTAACACAATTCTATTTCTTTTGATTTTTGTATTATGGATATTTGTTGTTACTTATTTTACTTTGTTTAGAAGGGGGTCATGAATTTGAGTAAGAAGAAAGTGGGTGGGGAACATCTGGGAGGAGTTGGGTGTTGTTCCTTCAATTGCCTAATTTCGAGATGGTCCTACATATTTCTGATCAGGATCTGGTTCCATATTCTTTGATTCTGTCTTAACACAGAGAAATATATCATCTGTTATTTCTCAATGGCATAAGATTTAATTTTGTCACAAATTCTTTTGCTTCATTTGAGTTTTAAAATAGTTTCATTAGCAAGGAAAATTTTGTTTTCTAAGTGTGTTATATCACACAAGTTAAAAACAAATTTTAGTGAAAGTAATAAGCAGAGGTTTATCTTGAACAAATACAGTGTTTTCAAAATGTCAGCCTTTAATGCAGAAACATTCTAAACTAAGACTTCTTTCACAGTATCCCTATTTGAAATCATGTTTTTAAACAATGAAGATATTTCTAAATGTTTTCATTCAAGGAATGCTTGAATTTCTAACATGGGAAGCTAATCCTACCTGTATTACTGCTAACACACACATATTTCAGACTATTTAGGGACTACAGTGGGGTGAACTATACCTTGTTCTTTATTTCCATGTCTGCATTGTATTTAAGCAAGCATTTAGCCAGTGTTTGGTTGTCTTCAGACACAGCATAGTGGAGAGAAGTGTTGCCATTTTTGTCCATACGGTTTGGATCAGCACCGTGCTTCAGCAATGCACACACACATCCGTATGTCCAGTTTTGTACAGCCTAGAGATTATGCCAAGAAACAGATTGCTTGTTCAAAGGACTCATAACATCACTCACAGTTCCCCATGTAGAGACATAATCATGGGGTAAGTTTGTTTATAGCATTTACATCAAGCCTATGTTTTCTTGAATTTGAAGAAGTGTATATACCTTCATCAGAGGTGTGATGGAGTTCCTGTCAACAGCATCAATGTCACAATTATTTTTCAGCAGAACATTTACTATTTCCACCTGGCCATAGGCACAGGCAAAATGCAGAGCAGTCCTATGGAAATGAGAAATGTTTGAATGAAATTCTGTAATATGATCTCAAAACTAAATTACTCCTGAAATCTTAAAATAGTAAATGGCACATAATTCTAAAACATTTCATATCAAGTGACTCTTCCACCTTTTGAATTCTGAATTAATTCCTTTTGAAAAAAATAAAAATATTTACTAATTTATAATACTCACTATATTAGTAAAAATGGCAGTATGTTTGATATCAATAGAACAAAGATCAAAAATAATAGTCATTTCACAGAACACCATGGTGATATGTAAACTTTCTAGGCTATCTACCTGCACTTAACAGCTCAATTTAAAACTAACATTATTTCTTCTACTCAGCAAACAAGATTTTAAGTAATAAAAGGATACAGGATTTTCTGATATGTTTTTTTTTCCTCATTTATTTATTTTATTCACTTTACATCCTTGTAATCCCTTCCCTTCTCCCCTCTCAGTCCTTCCTCTCCCCAAAGGGGAGTTTGCTTTCCCATCCACCTCAGCTCATCAAGTTGCATCAGGACTGAACATGTCCTTCTTAGCTCTGGCCTGGCAAGGCAGTTCTGCCAGGGGGGAAGTGATCAGAAAGCTGGCAAGTCAGTCTGTGTCTGATACAGTTTCCACTTCCCTTACTAGTGGACCCACTTGAAGCCTAAGCTGCCCATCTGCTACATGTTTGTAGGGAGACTGGGTATGGTTTATGCATGGTTCTTGGTTGATGCTTCAGTCTCAGCAAACCTATCTGGGCCCTGTTTGGTTGACTCTTCTGTTTGTCTTGTGGAACTACAGGCACTACCGGGTCCTTTCGTCTTTCCTCCCACTTTTCCACAAGACTCCAAAGTTTGGTTGTGAGTCTCAGCATCTGTTTTGCGGTGCTTCTGGGTAGAGCCTCTCAGAAGACAACTCTGACAAGCTCCTTTCTACAAGTATAGCAGAGTATTGTTCATAGTGTCAGGGATTGGCACTCGTAGATAGGGTGGGCCAGTAAGATTAATTAATTTCAAGGATTCCAAAATCTACTTAAAGTCTCTTAATTAGCTTAGAGAGGGCAAAGCATGAAGGTTTTAAGAGTAGTACAATATGAATGCTACATGGTAAGTGTTCATGTTATTACTGGTGAATAAATTGACTTAAAGAACAGATAAATCTGATTGGCCTGCTCTTTGATCACCTCCCCCTGAGGGAGGAGCAGCCTTACCAGGTCACAGAAGATGACAATGCAGCCACTCCTGATGAGATCTGATAGACTAAGATCAGAAGGAAGGAGAGGAGGACCTCCCCTATCAAGGACTTGGGGAGGGGCATGCGTGAAGAAGGGGGGGGAGGGCAGGATCAGGAGGGGAGGGGCAGGGTCTTATGGGGGGATACAAAGTGAATAAAGTGTAATTAATAAAATAAAAATTAAAAAAGGGAGAAAGGAAAAATTCATCATACAATAAACAAATATAAACATGAAAAAAAAAAGAACAGATAAATATACTCAATAAATTCATGATTTATCAGGTTATATTTGTAGGCAGAGTTGAAAGGTGTGAACTAGCGACCTCTAGCGAGTGTTCAAGTTATGAGGAGGTGCTTAGGGACAAGAAGAGACACACAGCACAGAGGCTCCCCGCTCTTCCCATTCCGGCTCCCCTCCACTGATTTTTTTGGATCTAACAGAGGCTGTCTCTGTGAACTACACTGCAGGCCCTTCCCACTAGCTCATAGCCCCCTGTTACCTCTCCTTAAAGTCTTTGTCATTCACGCTGTGCTTCCCGAGACTGATCATTCTCTGCAGCCTCTGGGCATCACCCTCGCTTGCGGCCCTGTGAATCTTTTTCAGAGGTTTGTATCTGGGTTCGTTTGGGACAGATATGCTTTTCATATCACGTAAAAAGTCCAACAGGTTTTTTCGTGGGACATCGCAGAAACCCATAGGTGTCTTTTCCTTAATTCCGTGAACCAAGATCTTCTTCATGATTGAAGCTGCTGGTCTCACCCTCCTCTCCTGGCCTTTTCACATTTCCCCAGATCTTGTCCTTACACCCACTAACACTAAAACGCTGTATCAGCTTATGATATACCAACTAGGGCCCGCACCAAGGTTATAGGGTGGGGAAAATAGCTTCTGACACCCCTAGATTCAGTTGATGGAATCCAGGTTGCTTAGCAACCCTGGTAAACATTGGTGCGTGCATGTTCAAGAGCGAGTTTTGTGTACTGCTAACACCTCTGGGGGTTCAAGAGCATTCCTTGTGCACGCAGAAGCCATTTCTGGCCAACTCACTGCAAGAAAGTAAATCAGTTTTCCATTAAATGTCCTCAAATATCCGCAGAGATTGTTGAAAGTCTAAGCTTTCCTTTTTAATATATTTATTTATTCACTTTACATCCTGATTGCAGCCTCCCCTCCCAGCCTAAAGGCATATTTTTTTCATTCTCATTGTAGAAGTGCTTCTACTTAGCCTCCACCCAAGACTCTCAGATTTCCTTCCCTTTTCCCTCCTCCTTCTCTTCCCTCCTCTTCTCTTCTTGCTTTTTCTCCTCCCTCTCCTTTAATTCCTTCTTTAGTCATACAACCTTCCATTTTTTCACTACCCTCTCTTGAACACCATTTTCCCACCCCCAGGAGCTGCTACAGGCACCTCCTGCCTTAGCTCCTATATTAATTCACCTCTTCAAATGCACTTCAGGAAAATACTTCCCAGAGTCAACCTTTTTACCCTACTTCCTTGAGTCTGCATCCCCTCCCACTCCAGGGTTTCCACAGGAGTTCAGATTGCTTCTGTCTCGTTCCTGCTGACCCTCACCTGCACCCTGTAGTCTCGGCCATACACACTCACTTACCACAAACACAAGCTGAAAGGCATGTAAGACGTGATGGTGCACATTTTAATCCCAGCGCTGAGGAGGCTGATACAGGAACATTTCAAGTTTGAAGTCACCTTTAATGAACCTTAGTACCAAATGAGAAAAATAGTACAAGAAATGTCTAGGAGGTAATGATGAATTTCTTCAGATGTGGAAATTGGATAATGTGCTGCTTTAATATCCAATAGTGCTTTTAAAAGGATCTAAAATATGCATTTCATAATAACCAATAAATATGTAATCAATAATAATGAATGTTATTACATATTGCATTTAAACAACAAATAAATATGTAATAAATAGCTAATAACCAATAAATCTGTAATCATACCATTATCAACTTGAAATAAAATATTCAAGTTTATCAAGCTGTGGGAGTAGGAATAAATACATCATGTCAAAGTAGAGGAGGTCATTTAACATTTATGTTTATATTACAGTATTCAGGTTCTGTATTCTCTTGAGGCACTTAGGAGATACTTTTCCTATTCAGAAGCTGTTTACTCAATCTCTTCATGGCCACCTTCATGTCTTTGTTTCTCAGTGTGTAGATGGCAGGGTTCAGGATGGGTGTAATCATGAAGTCCAGGATGGCAAGAAACTTATCCACTGGCACAGTAGGAAATGGCCACATGTACACGAAGATGCATGGTCCAAAGAACAAAACCACCACAGCGATGTGAGCAGAGAGTGTAGAGAGGGCCTTGGACAAACTCCCCAAGGACTGTTTCCATACAGTAAACAGTATGAAGATGTAGGAGACAATCAATAAGAAGAAGGTACTGAGAGAAATTAATCCACTGTCAGCTGTAACCAAGAACTCCATTCTGTAGTTGTCTATGCAGGCCAGTTTGATGAACCTAGGAAGATCACAATAAAAACTATCTATCTCATTAGAACCACAAAACGGCAGATGGACAACAAAAGCTAACTGAGCCACTGAATGAATGAGACCAATAATCCAGGCTCCAATCAGAAGCAAAAGGCACATCCGTGGGCTCATGATGGTCAGGTAGTAGAGGGGTTTACATATGGCCACATATCTGTCCCAGGCCATGGCTACCAACAATACCATCTCACACCCCCCAAGGAGATGAAGGACAAACATCTGGAAGATACAACCCTGGAATGAAATGATATTATGACCTGAGTACAGGCCAGAGATCAACTTAGGGACTGTTGAGGTAGAAAAACAAAAGTCAACAAATGAAAGATTAGCTAAAAGGAAGTACATGGGTGAATGCAAATGAGGGTCAAGGATCACGGTAAACACAACTGAAAAATTTCCTAGAAAAATTGTTGCATATGATATTGTAGAGAATGCAAAGAGGAAATATTGTGTTGGTCTGTAGACTGATAGTCCCAGGAATATAAATTCAGATATTTCAGAGTAGTTTCCTTCATTCATTGGATCTTTCTTGAGTTATCTACAACATCCAAAAAAAAAAAAAAAAAAGGCAAAACAATTACCAGAAAAGGTAAAATAATAACCTAACATTGAGACATTTTTATTTATGAATTCATTATAATAAACAATTTTATATTAAAAAGTAAAGTTTTAATGAATATTAAAGCAAACACTTAAATTTTTTCCAAAATATGGACTAATAAAAAATAAGTCTTCATGATCTTCCATATTTTGAAGAATATGTCTCTAGCCTTGTATTATCAATTATGAGTATATTTTATATTTCAAATATGATGTTATGTTCTTTATTAAGACAGTGGTCCTGTTTCTGGCAGAATTACAGGCAGAATGAGTATGTGAAGAGTAAAACAACTTTAAATGTAGACAAAACCCTGATGACTAAGATATAGAAAAAGAAGTGGTGAAGGACTGGTTTATACCAGAAGTATGTGCCTACATACATTCTGTGATAGCAGTAGCAGTTACCACAGAAAAGGAATTGGAGTGCCCAGGGTTTCAAATGTCCTCTGGAATAACACAGAGACAAAGGAGGTGCATCAAGAGTAACACAAGCACTTATATTAAAATTCCTTTTTGAGGAGGGTGTGAGAGGAGATGAGGGAGAGGGTGGGATTAGGAGGGAATGAGTGAAGGGGCTATATCTGGGGTACAAAGTGAATAAACTGAAATTAAAAATTTTTTCTTTTTCATCATAAAAACAGTCTCATAGTTGCCATGTAAGTGATAATTCTACGTTTGTCCTATCTGAAGAAACATAAACAGAAGGACAAAGGTTATTGATTTCTATTTGTGTCATCAAATATGGTGTAATCTAATGAAATTCTATAAATGAGACTGCAAGCGAACAATACAGTTTCATACATTGACAATTAAAACGTAACTTGATATAACTTTTTAAACAGACACCATTAAAGAATATCAAAAGTTAACTACATGGAAAACAAAATCAATGTTATAGAAAGAGGTGAATAATGTATTTTTAATAAAAATTGTTATACATAAGAAGCATGTATTTAGAAGATACATTTCTAATAAAACCAGAAGGATGATCCTGTCATGACTACCTGATAGTTGCTTATCTCTGCACTACTGTAGATACTTGTAATAGTTTAATACATATAAAATTAACATTAGCAAGTCCTAAAAAGATGATCAAAGATGGTCAAATATACATTTTTCTGTAACAACATATCAATTTACTTTTTCTGTCTTGTAAACTTTTTCATTTTTGAGTAACCAAACCAAATGATTTGTTTAGCCCGCACTTAACTTACTGCTATGGTTTCCCTACTTGCGTTATTACTAAGAAGCTTCCTTCTAGACTCCTTGCAATTTTTATCATGTTACTTTCTCTCTTCTGTGTCACTTTTTACCAAGCCTGAGTCCACATGAAAATCCTGATAATGCATATTCACAATGTAGAATATATTGATGCAAACAACAAGAGCTTGTTAGTGTCATAAATATAGTTCTGTACAGCAAAACCAGACAGGAAGAGGCATCATGATGGTGAGAATGTAGGAGTAGATATCAAAGCCAAAAAAAAAAAAAAAAAAAAAAAACTGCAGAGGGAAAAAAGTCACTCAGTAAAGACTATACAGATAGGAACTGGGGAACATTAGAGCAGAATTGTGTGACCAGTTTATTATTGAACCAGAAGCAGAAATTTTTTCCATAGTGTCATGACAAATATTTGAGCGGATTTCTAAGTTAACCTTGATTTGAGCAGTTCTATTACATCTATCTATCTATCTATCTATCTATCTATCTATCTATCCATCCATCCATCTATAAATTTACATACACTTTTATCAAAACAGTCACGGAATCCCACAGTACCCACATATTTTTATGTATCAATTAAATCTCTATAATTTAAATTCACAAAAAAGAAAACCATTAAGCAAGGCATGAAGGTACATGAGGTAAATGATAGTATATGTTTCCTATCAAAGGAGCTGTAATTAGTCCTCAAGTTTTTTTCTCATTCAATGTAAGGAACCAAAAGCATTTACATTTGGGAGTAAAGATTTGCATGTTCTGTATTTTTTTACAGAAAAGGCACAGAAATTTACCAAGAACAAAAGCATGAATTGAGGAGATGGCTCAGTTGGTAAAGTGCCTGCTATACAAGCTTGAGGTCCTGAATTTCACCCCAGGAACACATGTCAAAACCTGATATCACAGGAGCATAGTGATATGACTATCTAATTGCGTTATATAGACAGGCAGATGCATAACTTTCACTGGCTATCCAGTCTAAACAAATTTGTGAACCTCAGGGCAATGAAATACCCTGTCTCTTTCATACATACTCAAACAAAACAAGGCAGCTCGTATTTGAGGAACAACAGCCACCACTGTTCTCTGATTCCATACATGCACACATGCATCCACACACATACACACATGTGCACTCACACATGAACATACATACCCACTATATGCACAAACACTAATAGGAAATAATGCTTTATATTTCTTTTTCTAAAATGTTGGACATATGACCAGTTTACCATGGCTTTCTTTTGTATACCAAAATGGTCTTTGCTACTAATTGATTATGGCTTTGAAAACTATCATCATTTATACTATTATGGCTTATATGAGGAAGAAAATTCATGCTGCAAGGAGTAGATCTAATTTTAAGGTAAAGAAAGGTATACGGAGGTGACTCA